CGGGGGGGGGAAAAAACCCCCCCCCCCCCCCCCCCCCCTTTTGTCCCGATTTTGGGGTTGGGGGGGGGTTTTTTGCTTTCCACCGGGGGGAGGGGGACCATATTTTTGGAAAGTGTCCCCCCCCCCCAATTTTCCCCCCCCCCCTGGGGTTTGAAAAAGGGGGGATCCCGTGGGATCCCCCCCCCCCCCCCCCCGGCGTCCCCCCGCGACTCTACCAACACGCTGTCGTCAACAGGACACAACGGCTGCAGCCTTTTGCCAGGAAATCAATCTGCAGTTCTACCCGACCTTCATGTTTTTCGGGGCCGGGAAGTTCCATGACCACGACCCGTTGTCCGGTATGGTTTTGGGGCCCCGCCCGACGGAGCACGACTCGAGCGCAAAGGTGAGACTGCGTAATAGCCATTCAGTTGACGTCACTTTATTTCCCCTTCCGATCATGACGCTTTTCGTAAGTCTCCCTAAGTTGCGCCTCTTTGCAAAATTGACAGCAGTTTATTCGCCCATCCCCGATGGCCACGTCGTTCTTAAGATTCCTGGGTGTTGGTGCGATGCACTTTCGCCGCATTGATCAAGAGGAAGGAGTCAAAGAAGTGCTACATACATTGAAGGTAGTTCTCCCGAACTCGCCAAAGCCGGACAACGCACCATGTTTTCTTTGGGGTCTGGCTTACGGTGGACAATATTCGTTGTTTCAGAGTAGCGTTTTCTTTGTCATCCGATGCCAGGTGGCAATCCATTCGGCGCACTCAACACGCGTTGCGTTATTCATGGTCGACTATTGTTTATGCATATTTCACATACATTGCGTGCTTTCCGCACATCGATTGCGTGCTCATCTGCGTGCCTTGCCTCTTGTGTCGGGAAGGAACGACCGGCATACGTAGGGTAATTCCATTCCTACGTACGAAGGGTTTACCAAACTCATGATGCGCCATGCCAAGACTTTGAGATCTACACGGGCTATATTGTAAAATGCCCAATTTCTACGCACAACATGCAACGAACGTCTGGAGTTACCATGTCCCAATGTTACGTATTTTCTGACTTCTCCTGCTGCTATCTACGGCCTTCCCGGGCGAATTAACCTCATGCTCCTGCTTCCCTCCTGTGTTCCGCTTGTTGGCCGTTCGCGCAAATCGAACCCGGACCACACAACTAACAAGCAGTTCCCCGCTGGTGCGGTGGTGTACCACGAAGTGTTGGCGGGCTGGACCAAGACGATGCACTTCATCAGCGGCTACAACCGCGTCATGGAAAGGCTCAACGTGTTCGGCGGCCGCGGCGGGAGAAAAGACAGGGCTGCTTCCGAAGAGCGGCTGTTAGCGGAGATCGAGGCGTTGGAACGAAAGGTGCGGCGTGTGCCGTGGGCGATGGTCTGTTTTTTTTTTTAGGTGACGTATTTAAAAGAAATATGTAAAGCATTTTCTCGACGTCTGTCGAATACGATTTCCCTCTCTTCTCGTTGGCGTCGGGATGAAGATGTATGCCTGGTTCTGTCGGCGAAAGACCCGGGTTTGAATAGTGGTGGAGGACCGAAAAATATTGGATGTTTTCAGTTCTTGTGTGGAAGTTCTGGTGGCGACTTCGCGAACGTATCGCACCCGTGAACAATGATGCGCATGGTTAACTACTAGACTCGCCGCCAGCCAGTCGGGTCTCGGCAACCCCTAGAGAATCTTCCTGTCTAGGAACCAAGAGTAAAGAGTCGCATCCCCCCAAGTTCGCCGGGACATATCCCTCTGTGTATAGATTATTATTATTGTTTTGCCTGGTGTTGGGGCTGATACGTGTGCAATACTGTCATGTCATCGACAACGCGAACCGGCCAACCATTTAAGAAGTGTGCCAATCACAGCCTGAGACACGCAAAATCGTTTTCTACTAAGGTCACGATTGTCGCGACAGGAGGATCCGTCGAAGAGGGGTGTGAGTGAATATTAATATTGCCTCATGTGACTGAAAACCCACGCAAGCACATGGTGGTTCCATCAAGCCGTGCGCATCACACTGTCAACACGGGTCACGGGTCGTTGGGTGGACAATGAAGGCATGCCTTGTCCTGTCCTCCGTCGTAGCACGTGTTGTTTCGCACCTTCGGACTGAACCAGATAGCGTCCGTCGGGCTCAAGTTGACGTTTAGGTCCTCTACCCGCCCACCGCCGAACACTTGAATCGGCGTTCAACCAACACCACCGCGGCTTCGTCTTTTCCCGCCTCTGTCTCTCCTCTTGTGTGGCATGTGTTTGCAGAATCATCAGTTGCAACAGGCGATGACTGGCGGCGAGACACAGGAGAGCAGCTTACCCTACGGCCATGGGGACCCCTACAACGAGCTCTGGAAGGTACTACAACACAAGCACAGCTGTGATTTGACAGCCTCTAGACAGTAAAGAATGAGCCTCAAAATGTCTCAGTCATGCGGGAATTCGAGTGCAAGTGTTTTGCTGCCGGTTGAGAACCTTGCACTGGTTCCTACAATTCCTTCTTGACACCTCAGATGCGATAAAACGTGGAGGCGCCCTTAAAATATAGTGGCTTGGTAGCCGGGGGAAAAGTTTTTGTGCGATGGTCCTCAAGAGGGATGCACACTCGGGTACGGGAAGCATGAAAACGTCGGGTACGGGGGTTGCTAGCTGAGGGAGAGTGAGCGTATTTAGTCGAGGGGTGCTTCAAGTGACACGACAAGCAGCAGCGAGAGATGGGGGCAGATGAAATGACGGTCTCCTGTGATGTGCGTACGCAGGCTAAAGGAAGACGGGAGGAAAGGAGGCATAGTAGAAGGGGGCAGTATAGAACTGAAAAAAGTGCGTCGGGTTGTGAAGGAAGAGCACCACAACAGCGGTCTGGTTGGGCGTTTGTGTCTACACCCTGTAGGCCAGCGCTGATGGCTACAACAGATACGGAGGACGGCCGAAACCTGCACTATTTTGTGGCACTATTTTGTGGCAGTCTTTCGGAAAAACTGGATAGCAGCAATCGGCCCAACGCAGGCCTCTAAAACGTGTGTGTACACCTCGCGTCCATATGAATACTACGGTACATCATGACGACATCCACCCGTCACCCGTGTTGCAAGTCCCACAAAAAGCAAAAAAAATATGACAAAGGGGCTCCGCGAAAATCGATGGTACCCCGCGTAAGCCCCCATGATCGGTTGCCCAGAGCATCATCTGGTGCACACCTTTGTCACTGCTGGTGCTCCTCACACAGATGGCTACGTGCCATGAAACCTGCAGGGTACCTCAAGCATGTTGTGTTCTACACGCGCAGACATTTGGTTTGGCCTGGTTTCGCTCTGAAACTGGCAAATGCCGTGCTATCAAAAGTGAAAGAGCTGCTGCTTCAAGCCCGTTCCGCAGCTCTCAGCACCGAACTTCACGCTGCTACCCGCGGGCAAAGGAGTTGACGATTTCGCTCGAAACTTCGCCAGAGTGCATTACATAGTCATATGTAGCATTGAGGGGTTGGCAAATTTTTGGATCGCCACTACGAGGGTCGTTCCAGTGAAGCACTCTATCGCCTTTATGTCGACCAAACACGCCCAACGCGTCTACCTCCAATTTTGTTGGAATTCTCCGCAAATTCCCCCGCAATTTGACCTTCAACGCTCTATCCGCGCTCAGAAAACGATCCCGTCCACTTTTTTTGTCGGCACCGCGCTGTAGAGACATGCTTAAGGTTGCTTTGGAAGGTTGGCTACTTTTTGGATCGCCACTACAGCCGGAGTTGTTGACGAATAACGGCCAGTCCCATAGGAATTCAGCGGCTGTGGGGGCTCCGCGTGATCGATGCCTTGTCGTAATAAAAAAAGAAATCATTTTTTGTGGGGACTTGCAACACGGGTGCGTCTTACGATGAATACCCCCCGGATGCGAGATCAATGGTCTAACGACTACGGCATGCACGACTATGAGTACCCCCCCCCCCCCGCACCCCCCCAGCGGCCAT